CCTCCACAGGGGCCGATCTTGACACCGCTGGTACCAGTCATCGGCAAGTCCACTCAGCTCCACGTCCTCCTGTACCACATCACTCCATCTCTTCTCTAGCCCGTGCCGTGCCCGTTTAGCCCCCTCGATCCGGCCGAACAAAAGCTGTTTCGGCATGCGGTGGCTGGGCATGCGGGCTACATGACCCAGCCATCGCAGTCTTGCCTGCCGGAGGAGCTCACCGATGCGACCTTGCCTAGATCTTTCAAGGATTTGTGAGCTCCTCACACAATCTAGTCTGGTTAAACCCAGGATGGATCGTAGGCAGGCCAGCCTAAATGTTTCTAACCGGCAAAGATGTTCCATTAGGGGGGTCCACGTTTCGCAAGCGTAGAGAAGGGAGGGAATGACCGTGGCCGAGAAGACCTGAAGCTTAGTGCGGAGCGACAGACCAGGTAGCTTCCACACAGCGTTACGCAACCGATGAAAAGATATTGCCGCTCGACTGATTCGGAGTGAGACCTCTGCTGTTAAACTGGTGCTGGTCATAAGCACACTGCCCAGGTATGGGAAACTCTCCACTCTCTCCACAACTGCCCCATCACCGATTGGGAGTTGTGGGGGTGGAGTGTCCGATGGTACAAAATACCCAGGCAGGTGCTTAGTTTTTGGTGGGGTCCTGGGTGTACACCCACCACCGGAGTGGAAGAATGGCAGGCGCATCTTACAGATGACTAGTCGATGGTCAGAGGGCAGATCAGCTCCACGGTAGGTATTGTTGTCAAGGACATGGGCTCGCATCCGCTGGTCCGTCACTATGTAGTCCAGCAGATGTTCTTGCTTGGACCCGGCATGCATCCATGATGTTGTGTGGATGCGGCGATGCCGGAACAGCATCTTGGTAATTACAAGCCCATGGGCTGCACAAAAATCTAGCAGCCTCCTACCGTTGTTATTGAGCTGATCTGGCCCATGCCCTCCAATCACTCCAGACCAGGTGCCAGTATCATGACCAACTCGGGCATTGAAGTCACCCAACATGATGACTCTATCCTGAGGGGCCACTTTAGCCAGCACCTGTGACAGGAGGTCATAGAAGGCATCTGACTCATCGGCTTTGCCTGCATCCCTCCACGGATGTTCATCTTCGGTGGGGGCATAAGTAACCACGACCACCATTCCTCGCCTCCGGTTGATTGGAAGGCGAGCCCAAAGTAGCCTGGGACTTACAGCTTCCCACACCTCACCGGCACGTTCCCACGCCCCCTTCATTCTTTTGTTCAAAAGAAGAGCCACACCCTGCTGTTTGGCAGTCTGCTGCCCCGAGTAGAGGACTGTCCACCCCTCATGGTGGCAGGAGCCAGAGCCGGTCCACCGGACCTCCTGAATGCCGCATAGATCCAGGCGGTACTGGTCCAGCTCCCGACAGAGGAGTGGCAGCCTCTCCTCCGCAGTGAGCATTCGAACATTCCACGTGGCCACCCGTAGTGGCTTTTCGTTGTTTCTGGAGGAGCCCCGAGGGTAGAGATTCAATCTCCTGGCTCCGCCATTTGGGGTTGGGCCAGGAGACGTCATAGACGCCTGGCCCCCCGGGGCCTCCGGCACTCAGCTCCACGTCCTCCTGCACCACATCACTCCATCTTTTCTCTAGCCCGTGCCACGCCCATTTAGCCCCCTCGATCCGGCCGAACAAAAGCTGTTTCGGCATGCGGTGGCTGGGCATGCGGGCTACATGACCCAGCCATCGCAGCCTTCCCCGCCGGAGGAACTCACCGATGGGACCTTGCCCAGATCTTTCAAGGATTTGTGAGCTCCTCACACAATGCAGTCTGGTTAAACCCAGGATGGATCGTAGGCAGGCCAGCCTAAATGTTTCTAACCGGCGAAGATGTTCCATTAGGGGGGTCCACGTTTTGCAAGCGTAGAGAAGGGAGGGAATGACCGTGGCCGAGAAGACCTGAAACTTAGTGCGGAGCGACAGACCAGGTAGCTTCCACACAGCGTTACGCAACCGATGAAAAGATATTGCCGCTCGACTGATTCGGAGTGAGACCCTCTGCTGTTAAACTGGTGCTGGTCATAAGCACACTGCCCAGGTATGGGAAACTCTCCACTCTCTCCACAACTGCCCCATCATCGATTGGGAGTTGTGGGGGTGGAGTGTCCGATGGTACAAAATACCCAGGCAGGTGCTTAGTTTTGGTGGGGCTGATGGTAAGGCCCCACCTCTTAGTGGCGCACTCCAGTCTCAGCAGCAGCGTCTCCAACCAAATCATCAGCATACATAACGTGGTTGAGCAATAGGGAGCCATCCCTTGACCGCACCCGGGCATCGATCAGCCTCCCATTATATCTGTACCATATGGAGATTCCCCCGGTCAGATATTGAAGGCTTCACAAACTACATGGTCAAAATAGATGTTAAATAATATGGGCGCCAGAGGACATCCCTGTAGCACCCCAAGGTTAACAGGGAATGGCTCTGACTCCCGGCCACGTAGTTTTACCCGGGCCCGCTCACCATCATCATGAAGGTCCTTAATGATCGTGAGCAGAGGGTCAGGTACTCCAAAAGCACGAAGAACGACCCAGAGCCCAGGCCTACTGATGGTATCATAGGCCTTGACCAGGTCAATAAAGCAGAGATGTAGGTCTTGTTGGAATTCCCTACACCTCTGCTGTAGCAGACGGACAGAAAATATGGCATCTGTGCAGGACCGCCCTTTCCTGAAACCGCATTGGGGCTCCGCAAGCCTCTCCTCAGCGTGCCTGGCAAGGCGATGTTGAATAATCCTTGCCAGGACTTTTCCCGGCACACTGAGGAGTGAGATGCCCCTGTAGTTGTTACAGTCTGTGCGGTCCCCCTTCTTAAAAAGGGGGACCACCAGGGCAACCTTCCAATCCTGCGGAACCCGTCCAGTGGTCCAGACTGTTGTTATGATGTCATATAGGACAGTCTGTGCACAAACGCCGCCCTCCCTCAGCATTTCGCTTGGGAGATCATCTCTGCCCGCTGCCTTTCCTGGTCTCAGACTCCGGATCGCCTTCAGTACTTCCTCAACAGATGGCACCTCAGCCAGCCACTCACAGGGGGTGACTTCTTCCAATATTTGAGGCACCGCAGCCTCAGCAGGGTCATCCTCACTTTGTGCCACGATGTTTTCCTGGCTGAGGGATTTTCCCTCCCCCAGGACCTCACAGAAATGCTCAGCAAATCTGCGAACCTGTTCCTGGGGGTCGGAAATTGGATCACCGTTTTTTTCCCCTAATGATGGTAATAGGTGTGGCGCTGCAGGTTACTTTTTTGGAGTTAAATAGAGATTTGTGATCACGGGCCACTGAGGCAGACTCCATCTCCTCAGCAACCCGCGACCACCACCCATCCTTGCAGCGCCTCACGGCTCTCCGAACCTCCGAGCGAAGGCTGCGGTAAGCCTCCTCATTCTCTGACGTGGGATTCTGTAGCCGATGACAGTGAGCCTGTCGCTTTTTCTCAACCATCCTGAACAACTCCTCTGTCATCCAGGGTGTCTGGGGAGGTCTGGACCGCGTACCCAAAGCAGCCATTGCAGCTGCATGAGTCACAGTCCTAAACCTCGCCCATTTACCCTCGACATCAGGATGAGTCGGGGACGATGCCAATCCCAGCTGCAAGCGATGATGAAATTCTCGCTTGCAATTTTCATCAGATAACTGAGACCAGGCCACTTTAGGTTGGAATGGGGTCCTGGGTGTACACCCACCACCGGAGTGGAAGAATGGCAGGCGCATCTTACAGATGACTAGTCGATGGTCAGAGGGCAGATCAGCTCCACGGTAGGTACTGGTGTCAAGGACATGGGCTCGCATCCGCTGGTCCTTCACTATGTAGTCCAGCAGATGTTCTTGCTTGGACCCGGCATGCATCCATGATGTTGTGTGGATGCGGCGATGCCGGAACAGCGTGTTGGTAATTACAAGCCCATGGGCTGCACAAAAATCTAGCAGCCTCCTACCGTTGTTATTGAGCTGATCTGGCCCATGCCCTCCAATCACTCCAGACCAGGTGCCAGTATCATGACCAACTCGGGCATTGAAGTCACCCAACATGATGACTCTTTCCTGAGGGGCCACTTTAGCCAGCACCTGTGACAGGAGGTCATAGAAGGCATCTGACTCATCCGCTTTGCCTGCATCCCTCCACGGATGTTCATCTTCGATGGGGGCATAAGTAACCACGACCACCATTCCTCGCCTCCGGTTGATTGGAAGGCGAGCCCAAAGTAGCCTGGGGCTTACAGCTTCCCACACCTCACCGCCACGCTCCCACGCCCCCTTCATTCTTTTGTTCAAAAGAAGAGCCACACCCTGTTGTTTGGCAGTCTGCTGCCCCGAGTAGAGGACTGTCCACCCCTCATGGTGGTAGGAGCCAGAACCGGTCCACCGGACCTCCTGAATGCCACATAGATCCAGGCAGTACTGGTCCAGCTCCTGACAAGAGGAGTGGCAGCCTCTCCTCCGCAGTGAGCGTTCGAACATTCCACGTGGCCATCCGTAGTGGTTTTTCGTTGTTTCTGGAGGAGCCCCGAGGGTAGAGATTCAATCTCCTGGCTCCGCCATTTGGGGTTTGGCCAGGAGACGTCATAGACGCCTGGCCCCCCGGGGCCTCCGGCACAAGCTTATTAGTTACATATTTCAGTTTAAGTCGTGGTTTAGTGGTAATTAATTGAAGGTGGAGGGGTTACCAGCCCCTCGCACCCGTCCAGAGCCCCCGTTTAGCCCCTGTGGTGGACACATTTGCCATGAGGGGAGGAGCCAATCAAAATTGGACCTCCCCCCACAGCACTGTCCACGACAGAGTTGCCCGTCCGGTACCGCGAGGAGGTAGGGGGTTGTTTTGCACACACACAGACACACAGACGGAGTGCTGCTGATGATGATGATGCTGATGATGTTGATGATGATACGGAGTGCTGATGATGCTGATGATGTTGATGATGATACTGATGGTGATGCTGCTGATGCTGATGATGTCCACTCACCACCAGCGAGTCTGAGTTGGTCACCACCCCAGTCAGCTGCTGCTGCTGCTGGCGGCAATGCAGCTGCTGGAGACTTTCTTCAAGTTCCTGCTGCTGCTGCTGCTGGTGGTGGTGCTGGAGACTTTCTTCAAGTTCCTGCTGCTGCTGCTGCTGGTGGTGGTGCTGGAGACTTTCTTCAAGTTCCTGCTGCTGCTGGTGGTGGTGCTGGAGACTTTCTTCAAGTTCCTGCTGCTGCTGCTGCTGCTGGTGGTGCTGGAGACTTTCTTCAAGTTGCTGCTGCTGCTGGTGGCCGTGGTGGTGGTTGTGCTGCTGGTGGTTGTTGTCTTCACTGTCCCCCTGCCCCTGCTGCCCCTGCTGCTCCTGCTGCTGCTGAAGCAGCAGGTGGTGGTGCTCCTGCTGCTGCCCCTGCTGCTGCTGCTGCTGCTCCTGCTGCTGCTGAAGCAGCAGGTGCTCCTGCCCCTGCCCCTGCCCCTGCTGCTGCCCCTGCTGCTCCTGCTGCTGCTGAAGCAGCAGGTGCTCCTGCTGCTGCCCCTGCCCCTGCTGCTGCCCCTGCTGCTCCTGCTCCTGCTGAAGCAGCAGGTGCTCCTGCTGCTGCCCCTGCTGCTGCTCCTGCTGCTGCTGAAGCAGCAGGTGCTGGTGCATGGCGCGGAGTTCCCGCAGCATGGGCACGAAGCAGCGAAGGGCCGAGGATTCGTCGCCAGGGTCACCGTCAGCGCCGCCGCCCTGGCTAACGCCGTTGTGCGATGAAGCTGCCCTAGTGGTTGACGATGTTGTTGTTGTTGACGTTGTTGTTGACGTTGTTGTTGATGTTGTTGTTGTTGTTGTTGCGGCAGCGGCGAGGGGCTGGCAGAAGGCTGCGATGGCGGCGATGGAGCGGAGCAGCAGAGAACGCAGCCGCAGCCAAAGTCGCTCCTCGTGCACAGAGCGTTGGCGACAGGACAGCTCGGACACAAGCCTGGGGGAGCACGGCAAGCGGGCTGGTGGACTCAGTCGTGGTGGTGGTGGACTCTGTGGAGAGTGGTGGACTATGTAGAGTGGTGGACTATGTAGAGTGGTGGACTGTGTAGAGAGTGGTGGACTATGTAGAGAGTGGTGGTGGACTATGTAGAGTGGTGGTGGACTATGTAGAGAGTGGTGGTGGACTATGTAGAGAGTGGTGGTGGACTATGTAGAGTGGTGGTGGACTATGTAGAGAGTGGTGGTGGACTATGTAGAGTGGTAGACTCTGTAGAGAGTGGTGGTGGACAATGTAGAGTGAGTGGTGGACTGTGTAGAGTGGTGGTGGACTATGTAGAGAGTGGAAGACTCTGTAGAGAGTGGTGGACTATGTAGAGAGTGGTGGTGGACTATGTAGAGTGGTAGACTCTGTAGAGAGTGGTGGTGGACTATGTAGAGAGTGGTGGTGGACTATGTAGAGAGTGGTGGACTATGTAGAGAGTGGTGGTGGACTATGTAGAGAGTGGTGGTGGACTATGTAGAGTGGTGGTGGACTATGTAGAGAGTGGTGGTGGACTATGTAGAGTGGTAGACTCTGTAGAGAGTGGTGGTGGACTCTGTAGAGTGGTGGTGGAAAATGTAGAGAGTGGTGGACTATGTAGAGTGGTGGTGGACTATGTAGAGAGTGGTGGTGGACTATGTAGAGTGGTGGACTATGTAGAGAGTGGTGGACTATGTAGAGTGGTGGTGGACTATGTAGAGAGTGAGTGGTGGACTATGTAGAGAGTGGTGGTGGACTATGTAGAGCGTGGTGGACTATGTAGAGTGGTGGTGGACTATGTAGAGAGTGAGTGGTGGACTATGTAGAGAGTGGTGGTGGACTATGTAGAGAGTGGTGGTGGACTATGTAGAGAGTGGTGGTGGACTATGTAGAGAGTGGTGGTGGACTATGTAGAGTGGTGGACTATGTAGAGTGGTGGACTATGCAGAGTGGTGGTGGACTATGTAGAGAGTGGTGGTGGACTATGTAGAGAGTGGTAGACTCTGTAGAGAGTGAGTGGTGGACTCTGTAGAGTGGTGGACTATGTATGGTGGTGGACTATGTAGAGAGTGAGTGGTGGACTCTGGATGTAGAGTGGTGGACTCTGTAGAGTGGTGGTGGACTATGTAGAGTGGTGGACTATGTAGAGTGATGGTGGACTCTGTGGAGTGGTGGGACTATGTAGAGAGTGGTGGTGGACTATGTAGAGAGTGGTGGACTATGTAGAGAGTGGTGGTGGACTATGTAGAGTGGTGGACTATGTAGAGAGTGGTGGTGGACTATGTAGAGAGTGGTGGACTATGTAGAGTGGTGGTGGACTATGTAGAGAGTGAGTGGTGGACTATGTAGAGAGTGGTGGTGGACTATGTAGAGCGTGGTGGACTATGTAGAGTGGTGGTGGACTATGTAGAGAGTGAGTGGTGGACTATGTAGAGAGTGGTGGTGGACTATGTAGAGAGTGGTGGTGGACTATGTAGAGAGTGGTGGTGGACTATGTAGAGAGTGGTGGTGGACTATGTAGAGTGGTGGTGGACTATGTAGAGAGTGGTGGTGGACTATGTAGAGTGGTGGACTATGTAGAGAGTGGTGGACTATGTAGAGTGGTGGTGGACTATGTAGAGAGTGAGTGGTGGACTATGTAGAGAGTGGTGGTGGACTATGTAGAGCGTGGTGGACTATGTAGAGTGGTGGTGGACTATGTAGAGAATGAGTGGTGGACTATGTAGAGAGTGGTGGTGGACTATGTAGAGAGTGGTGGTGGACTATGTAGAGAGTGGTGGTGGACTATGTAGAGAGTGGTGGTGGACTATGTAGAGTGGTGGTGGACTATGTAGAGAGTGGTGGTGGACTATGTAGAGTGGTGGACTATGTAGAGTGGTGGACTATGCAGAGTGGTGGTGGACTATGTAGAGAGTGGTGGTGGACTATGTAGAGAGTGGTAGACTCTGTAGAGAGTGAGTGGTGGACTCTGTAGAGTGGTGGACTATGTATGGTGGTGGACTATGTAGAGAGTGAGTGGTGGACTCTGGATGTAGAGTGGTGGACTCTGTAGAGTGGTGGTGGACTATGTAGAGTGGTGGACTATGTAGAGTGATGGTGGACTCTGTGGAGTGGTGGGACTATGTAGAGAGTGGTGGTGGACTATGTAGAGAGTGGTGGACTATGTAGAGAGTGGTGGTGGACTATGTAGAGTGGTGGACTATGTAGAGAGTGGTGGTGGACTATGTAGAGAGTGGTGGACTATGTAGAGTGGTGGTGGACTATGTAGAGAGTGAGTGGTGGACTATGTAGAGAGTGGTGGTGGACTATGTAGAGCGTGGTGGACTATGTAGAGTGGTGGTGGACTATGTAGAGAGTGAGTGGTGGACTATGTAGAGAGTGGTGGTGGACTATGTAGAGAGTGGTGGTGGACTATGTAGAGAGTGGTGGTGGACTATGTAGAGAGTGGTGGTGGACTATGTAGAGTGGTGGTGGACTATGTAGAGAGTGGTGGTGGACTATGTAGAGTGGTGGACTATGTAGAGTGGTGGACTATGCAGAGTGGTGGTGGACTATGTAGAGAGTGGTGGTGGACTATGTAGAGAGTGGTAGACTCTGTAGAGAGTGAGTGGTGGACTCTGTAGAGTGGTGGACTATGTATGGTGGTGGACTATGTAGAGAGTGAGTGGTGGACTCTGGATGTAGAGTGGTGGACTCTGTAGAGTGGTGGTGGACTATGTAGAGTGGTGGACTATGTAGAGTGATGGTGGACTCTGTGGAGTGGTGGGACTATGTAGAGAGTGGTGGTGGACTATGTAGAGAGTGGTGGACTATGTAGAGTGGTGGACTATGTAGAGAGTGAGTGGTGGACTATGTAGAGTGGTGGTGGACTCTGTAGAGAGTGAGTGGACTATGTAGAGTGGTGGACTATGTAGAGAGTGGTGGACTATGTAGAGTGGTGGACTATGTAGAGAGTGAGTGGTGGACTATGTAGAGTGGTGGTGGACTCTGTAGAGAGTGAGTGGTGGACTCTGTAGAGAGTGAGTGGTGGACTCTGTAGAGTGGTGGACTATGTAGAGAGTGAGAGGTGGACTATGTAGAGAGTGAGAGGTGGACTATGTAGAGTGGTGGACTATGTAGAGTGGTGGACTATGTAGAGAGTGAGAGGTGGACTATGTAGAGAGTGAGAGGTGGACTATGTAGAGTGGTGGACTATGTAGAGAGTGAGTGGTGGACTATGTAGAGTGGTGGTGGACTATGTAGAGTGGTGGACTATGTAGAGAGTGAGTGGTGGACTATGTAGAGTGGTGGACTATGTAGAGTGGTGGTGGACTATGTAGAGTGGTGGACTATGTAGAGAGTGAGTGGTGGACTATGTAGAGTGGTGGACTATGTAGAGTGGTGGACTATGTAGAGAGTGAGAGGTGGACTATGTAGAGAGTGAGAGGTGGACTATGTAGAGTGGTGGACTATGTAGAGAGTGAGTGGTGGACTATGTAGAGTGGTGGTGGACTATGTAGAGTGGTGGACTATGTAGAGAGTGAGTGGTGGACTATGTAGAGTGGTGGACTATGTAGAGTGGTGGTGGACTATGTAGAGTGGTGGACTATGTAGAGAGTGAGTGGTGGACTATGTAGAGTGGTGGACTATGTAGAGTGGTGGACTCCCACCTAGCGGAGGGGTTCCAGGAGAGGATGAGGTCGAGGTCTCTGTTGTCCCTCAGCGAGTCCCAGCAGATGTTGTCGGAGTGGGCAGTCAACCCCAGAGCACGCACACACTCCTGTAGAACACTCACACTTCACACAGTCACACACAGTCACACACACACACACTCCTGTAGAACACTCACACTACACAGTCACACACACACACAGTGACACAGTCACACATACATACACACACACAGTGTCACACACACACAGTGTCACACACTCTCCTGTAGAACACTCACACTACACACACATACATACACACAGTTACATACATACACACACTCCTGTAGAACACTTACACTACACACATACACAGTCACACACACAGTCACACACACACACTCTCCTGTAGAACACTTATACTACAACAACAACCGCCATTCGCCACTAAGTGGCGGTGACGTCACCACGACGCTTGTGCCAGGCTATGTGCACCCTGAGGCCATGTGAAGTGTCGAACGCCCGCTGGCAGGAGGTCACGGGGCAGACCCAGGTGCCACGGGTCGACTGACTGAGATGACTGGCTGATGCACCACCTGTGCCCCCTACTGTGCCAACCCGCTGTGCTTTAGCCACCCGGCGCTCCGCTCGTTGTTGTGAGCGTCGCTCCTCCGCCCTCCGTTGTTGTTGGAGGGCGACTGCCTCCAACTGCCCAGTAGCATCCTTCACGAGCCTCCTCCACAGAGGCCGATCTTGACACCGCTGGTACCAGTCATCGGCAAGTCCACTCAGCTCCACGTCCTCTTGTACCACATCACTCCATCTCTTCTCTAGCCCGTGCCGCGCCCGCTTAGCCCCCTCAATCCGGCCAAACAAAAGCTGTTTCGGCATGCGGTGGCTGGGCATGCGGGCTACATGACCCAGCCATCGCAGCCTTGCCCGCCGGAGGAGCTCACCGATGGGACCTTGCCCAGATCTTTCAAGGATTCGTGAGCTCCTCACACAATCCAGTCTGGTTAAACCCAGGATGGATCGTAGGCAGGCCAGCCTAAATGTTTCTAACCGGCGAAGATGTTCCATTAGGGGGGTCCACGTTTCGCAAGCGTAGAGAAGGGAGGAAATGACCGTGGCCGAGAAGACCTGAAGCTTAGTGCAGAGCGACAGACCAGGTAGCTTCCACACAGCGTTACGCAACCGATGAAAAGATATTGCCGCTCGACTGATTCGGAGTGAGACCTCTGCTGTTAAACTGGAGCCGGTCATAAGCACACTGCCCAGGTATGGGAAACTCTCCACTCGCTCCACAACTGCGCCATCACCGATTGGGAGTTGTGGGGGTGGAGTGTCCGATGGTACAAAATACCCAGGCAGGTGCTTAGTTTTGGTGGGGCTGATGGTAAGGCTCCACCTCTTAGTGGCACGCTCCAGTTTCAGCAGCAGCGTCTCCAACTCCTCCTCTGAATGAGCAGCTATTACCAAATCATCGGCATACATAACGTGGTTGAGCAATAGGGAGCCATCCCTTGACCGCACCCGGGCATCGATTAGCCTCCAATTGTATCTGTACCATATGGAGATTCCCCCGGTACAGCTATTGAAGGCTTCACAAACTACGTGGTCAAAATAGATGTTAAATAATGTGGGAGCCAGAGGACATCCCTGTCGCACCCCAAGGTGTACAGGGAATGGCTCTGACTCCCAGCCACGTAGTTTTACCCGGGCCCGCTCACCATCATGAAGGTCCTTAATGATCGTGAGCAGAGGGTCAGGGACTCCAAAAGCACGAATAACGACCCAGAGCCCAGGCCTACTGATGGTATCATAGGCCTTGACCAGGTCAATAAAGCAGAGATGTAGGTCTTGTTGGAATTCCCTACACCTCTGCTGTAGCAGACGGACAGAAAATATGGCATCTGTGCAGGACCGCCCTTTCCAGAAACCGCATTGGGGCTCCGCAAGCCTCTCCTCAGCACACTGAGGAGTGAGATGCCCCTGTAGTTGTTACAGTCTGTGCGGTCCCCCTTCTTAAAGAGGGGGACCACCAGGGCATCCTTCCAATCCTGCGGAACCCGTCCAGTGGTCCAGACTGTTGTTATGATGTCATATAGGGCAGTCTGTGCACAAACGCCACCCTCCCTCAGCATTTCGCTTGGGAGATCATCTCTGCCCGCTGCCTTTCCTGGTCTGAGACTCCGGATCGCCTTCAGTACTTCCTCAACAGATGGCACCTCAGCCAGCCACTCACAGGGGGTGACTTCTTCCAATATTTGAGGCACCGCAGCCTCAGCAGGGTCATCCTCACTTTGTGCCACGATGTTTTCCTGGCTGAGGGATTTTCCCTCCCCCAGGACCTCACAGAAATGCTCGGCAAATCTGCAAACCTGTTCCTGGGGGTCGGAGATTGGATCACCGTTTTTTCCCCTAATGATGGTAATAGGTGTGGTACACACACACAGTGACAGACACAGTGTCACAGTGTCTCTCCCCCCGTGTCTCTCCCCCCTTGTCTCTCCCCCGTGTCTCTCTCCCCCGTGTCTCTCTCCCCCCGTGTCTCTCCCCCCGTGTCTCTCCCCCCGTGTCTCTCCCCCCCCGTGTCTCTCCCCCCGTGTCTCTCTCCCCGTGTCTCTCCCCCCGTGTCTCTCCCCCCGTGTCTCTCCCGCGTGTCTCTCCCCCGTGTCTCTCCCCCCGTGTCTCTCCTCCGTGTCTCTCTCAAGGTGTCTCTCCCCCGTGTCTCTCCCCCGTGCCTCTCCCCCCGTGTCTCCCCCCCGTGTCTCTCTCAAGGTGTCTCTCCCCCCGTGTCTCTCCCCCCGTGTCTCTCCCCCCGTGTCTCCCCGTGTCTCCCCCCCGTGTCTCCCCCCCGTGTCTCTCCCCCGTGTCTCCCCGTGTCTCCCCGTGTCTCTCCCCCGTGTCTCCCCGTGTCTCTCCCCCATGTCTCCCCCCCATGTCTCCCCCCCGTGTCTCCCCGTGTCTCCCCGTGTCTCCCCCGTGTCTCCCCGTGTCTCTCCCCGTGTCTCCCCATGTTTCTCCCCCCGTGTCTCTCCCCCGTCTCTCCCTCCGTGTCTCCCCCGTGTCTCTCCCCCGTGTCTCTCCTCCGTGTCTCCTCGTGTCTCCCCCCCCGTGTCTCCCCACTCACGTGTCTCCTCGTGTCTCCCCGTGTCTCTCCCCCGTGTCTCTCCCCCGTGTCTCCCCGTGTCTCCCCCCCGTGTCTCCCCCACGTGTCTCCCCCCCGTGTCTCCCCCCCGTGTCTCTCCCCCCGTGTCTCTCCCCCCGTGTCTCTCCCCCCGTGTCTCTCCCCCCGTGTCTCTCCCCCGTGTCTCTCCCCCGTGTCTCCTCCCCGTGTCTCCCCGTGTCTCCCCGTGTCTCCCCCCCGTGTCTCCCCCCCGTGTCTCCCCCCCGTGTCTCCCCGTGTCTCACCGTGTCTCCCCGTGTCCCCCCGTGTCCCCCCGTGTCTCTCCCTCGTGTCTCTCTCCCCGTGTCTCCCCGTGTCTCCGCGTGTCTCCCTGTGTCTCCCCCCCTGTGTCTCTCCCCCGTCTCTCCCTCCGTGTCTCCCCCGTGTCTCTCCCCCGTGTCTCTCCTCCGTGTCTCCTCGTGTCTCCCCCCCCGTGTCTCCCCACTCACGTGTCTCCTCGTGTCTCCCCGTGTCTATCCCCCGTGTCTCTCCCCCCGTGTCTCTCCCCCCGTGTCTCTCCCCCCGTGTCTCTCCTCCCGTGTCTCTCCTCCCGTGTCTCTCCCCCCGTGTCTCTCCCCCCGTGTCTCCCCCCCCGTGTCTCCCCACTCACGTGTCTCCTCGTGTCTCCCCGTGTCTATCCCCCGTGTCTCTCCCCCCGTGTCTCTCCCCCCGTGTCTCTCCCCCCGTGTCTCTCCCCCCGTGTCTCTCCCCCGTGTCTTTCCCCCCGTGTCTCTCCCCCCCCGTGTCTCTCCCCCGTGTCTCCCCGTGTCTCCCCGTGTCTCCCCGTGTCTCCCCGTGTCTCCTCGTGTCTCCCCACTCACGTGTCTCCCTCCAGGAAGATCTGCAGCAGCGCTCTCTCTGTCTGCACCGTGGCGAAGTGAAGGGAGTTCTCCAGCCGCTGACGGAAGGCCACCCCGTGTCTCTCTCCCCGTGTCTCCCCGTGTCTCCCCGTGTCTCTCCCCCGTGTCTCTCTCTCCCCGTGTCTCCCCGTGTCTCCCCATGTCTCTCCCCCGTGTCTCTCCCCCGTGTCTCCCCGTGTCTCCCCGTGTCTCCCCGTGTCCCCCCCTCGTGTCTCTCTCCCCGTGTCTCCCCGTGTCTCCCCCGTGTCTCCCCGTGTCTCCCCATGTCTCTCCCCCGTGTCTCTCCCCCGTGTCTCCCCGTGTCTCCCCGTGTCTCCCCGTGTCTCTCCCCCGTGTCTCCCCGTGTCTCTCCCCCGTGTCTCCCCGTGTCTCCCCGTGTCTCCCCGTGTCTCCCCGTGTCTCCCCGTGTCTCCCCGTGTCTCTCCCCCGTGTCTCCCCGTGTCTCCCCGTGTCTCCCCGTGTCTCCCCACTCACGTGTCTCCCTCCAGGAAGATCTGCAGCAGGGCTCTCTCCGTCTGCACCGTGGCGAAGTGAAGGGAGTTCTCCAGCCGCTGACGGAAGGCCACAAGCTCCGGCACTTTGTGGAAGGCCCCGAACTTGAAGGCCTGGATGACGTACTCAGACGTCTGGGCGGGGGGGGCGGTGGGAACGGTGGGGGTGGGAGAGAGAGTGAGTGAGTGTGTGGGTGGGTGGGTGGGTGGGTAAGTGGGTGGGTGAGTGTGTGGGTGGGTGGGTGGGTGAGAGAGTGGGTGAGTGAGTGGGTGAGTTGGTGGGTGAGTGGGTGAGTGAGTGAGTGGGTGAGTGAGTGTGTGAGTGAGTGTGTGAGTGGGTGAGTGAGAGAGTGAGTGAGTGAGTGACTGAGTGAGTGAGTGAGTGTGTGAGTGAGTGAATGACTGAGTAGTGACTGAGTGAGTGAGTGTGTGAGTGGGTGAGAGAGTGAGTGGGTGTGTGTGTGGGTGAGAGAGTGAGTGGGTGTGTGTGTGGGTGGGTGGGTGGGTGAGTGGGTGGGTGGGTGGGAGATTGAGTGAGTGTGTGGGTGGGTGAGAGAGTGAGTGGGTGTGTGTGTGGGTGAGAGAGTGAGTGGGTGTGTGTGTGGGTGAGAGAGTGAGTGGGTGTGTGTGCGGGTGAGAGAGTGAGTGGGTGTGTGTGTGGGTGAGAGAGTGAGTGTGTGTGTGGGTGGGTGGGTGGGTGAGTGTGTGGGTGAGAGAGTGAGTGGGTGTGTGGGTGGGTGAGAGAGAGTGTGAGTGTGTGGGTGGGTGGGTGAGTGAGTGGGTGAGTGGGTGGGTGAGAGAGTGTGAGTGTGTGGGTGGGTGGGTGAGTGAGTGGGTGGGTGAGAGAGAGTGTGAGTGTGTGTGGGTGGGCGGGTGGGTGAGTGGGTGGGTGGGTGGGTGAGAGAGACAGTGAGTGAGAGAGACAGTGAGTGTGGGTGTGGGTGAGTGGGTGTGGGTGAGAGAGACAGTGGGTGAGTGAGTGGGTGGGTGGGTGGGTGAGTGGGTGAGTGACTCAGTGAGTGACCCACGTCCTTCTGGTTGGAGTGGAGGAAACGTAACACCGATGAGTAGTGACTGAGTGACTGAGTGAGTGACTGAGTAAGTGAGTGAGTGACTGAGTGACTCAGTGACTGAGTGAGTGACTGAGTGACTGAGTGACTCAGTGACTGAGTGAGTGAGTGACTGAGTGAGTGACTGAGTGAGTGACTGAGTAAGTGACTGAGTGACTGAGTGACTCAGTGACTGAGTGAGTGACTGAGTGACTGAGTGACTCAGTGACTGAGTGAGTGAGTGACTGAGTGAGTAAGCGAGTGAGTGAGTGACTGAGTGACTGAGTGAGTGACTGAGTGACTGAGTGAGTAAGCGAGTGACTGAGTGACTCAGTGACTGAGTGAGTGACTGAGTGACTGAGTGACTCAGTGACTGAGTGAGTGAGTGACTGAGTGAGTAAGCGAATGAGTAAGTGACTGAGTGACTGAGTGACTCAGTGACTGAGTGAGTGAGTGACTGAGTGACTGAGTGACTGACTGAGTGAGTGACTGAGTGAGTAAGCGAGTGAGTGAGTGACTGAGTGACTGAGTGAGTGACTGAGTAAGTGAGTGAGTGACTGAGTGACTGAGTGACTCAGTGACTGAGTGAGTGACTGAGTGACTGAGTGACTCAGTGACTGAGTGAGTGAGTGACTGAGTGACTGAGTGAGTGACTGAGTGACTGACTGAGTGACTGGGTGAGTGAGTGACTGAGTGAGTGACTGAGTGAGTGACTGAGTGAGTGACTGAGTGAGTGACTGAGTGAGTAAGCGAGTGAGTGAGTGACTGAGTGAGTGAGTGAGTGACTGAGTGAGTGAGTGACTGAGTGAGTGACTGACTGAGTGACTGAGTGAGTGACTGAGTGACTGAGTGACTGAGTGAGTGACTCAGTGAGTGACTGAGTGAGTGACTCAGTGAGTGACTGAGTGAGTGACTGAGTGAGTGACTGAGTAGTGACTGAGTGAGTGAGTGACTGAGTGAGTGAGTGACTGAGTGAGTGACTGAGTGAGTGAGTGACTGAGTGAGTGACTGAGTGAGTGAGTGACTGAGTGAGTGACTGAGTGAGTGAGTGACTCAGTGAGTGACTGAGTGAGTGACTGAGTGAGTACACGAGTGAGTGAGTGACTGAGTGAATGAGTGACTGACTGAGTGACTGAGTGAGTGACTGAGTGACTGACTGAGTGAGTGACTGAGTGAGTAAGCGAGTGAGTGAGTGACTGAGTGAGTGAGTGAGTGACTGAGTAAGTGAGTGAGTGACTGAGTGACTGAGTGAGTGACTGAGTGTGTGAGTGAGTGAGTGAGTGTGACTGAGTGACTGAGTGACTGAGTGAGTGAGTGACTGAGTGAGTGACTGACTGAGTGACTGAGTGAGTGACTGAGTGACTGAGTGAGTGACTCAGTGAGTGACTGAGTGAGTGACTGAGTAGTGACTGAGTGAGTGAGTGAGTGACTGAGTGAGTGACTGAGTGAGTGAGTGACTGAGTGAGTGACTGAGTGAGTGAGTGAGTGACTCAGTGAGTGACTGAGTGAGTGACTGAGTGACTGAGTGACTGAGTGAGTGACTGAGTGACTGAGTGAATGAGTGACTGACTGAGTGACTGAGTGAGTGACTGAGTGACTGACTGAGTGAGTGAGTGACTGAGTGACTGAGTGAGTGACTGACTGAGTGAGTGAGTGACTGACTGAGTGACTGACTGAGTGAGTGAGTGACTGAGTGAGTGAGTGAGTGACTGAGTGACTGAGTGAGTGACTGAGTGAGTGACTGAGTGACTGAGTGAGTGACTGAGTAAGTGACTAGGTGAGTGACTCACGTCCTTCTGGTTGGAGTGGAGGAATCGTAACACCGATGAGTAGTGACTGAGTGACTGAGTGACTGAGTGAGTGACTGAGTGAGTGACTGAGTGAGTGACTGACTGAGTGACTGAGTGACTGACTGAGTGAGTGACTGAGTGAGTGACTGAGTGAGTGACCCACGTCCTTCTGGTTGGAGTGGAGGAATCGTAACACCGATGAGTAGTGACTGAGTGACTGAGTGAGTGACTGAGTGAGTGACTGAGTGAGTGACTGAGTGAGTGACTGAGTGAGTGACTGAGTGAGTGACTGACTGAGTGACTGAGTGACTGACTGACTGAGTGAGTGACTGAGTGAGTGACTGAGTGACTGAGTGAGTGACTGAGTGAGTGAGTGACTGAGTGACTGACTGAGTGACTGACTGAGTGAGTGACTGAGTGACTGAGTGAGTGACTGAGTGAGTGAGTGACTGACTGAGTGACTGAGTGAGTGACTGAGTGAGTGAGTGACTGAGTGAGTGACTGAGTGAGTGACTGAGTGAGTGACTCAGTGAGTGAGTGACTAGGTGAGTGACCCACGTCTTTCTGGTTGGAGTGGAGGAATCGTAACACCGATGAGTAGTGACTGAGTGACTGAGTGAGTGACTGAGTGAGTGACTGAGTGAGTGACTGAGTGACTGACTGAGTGAGTGACTGAGTGAGTGACTGAGTGAGTGACTGAGTGACTGACTGAGTGAGTGACTGAGTGACTGAGTGAGTGACTGAGTGAGTGAGTGACTGACTGAGTGACTGACTGAGTGACTGAGTGAGTGACTGAGTGAGTGACTGAGTGAGTGACTCGGTGAGTGAGTGACTAGGTGAGTGACCCACGTCTTTCTGGTTGGAGTGGAAGAATCGTAACACCGATGAGTAGTGACTGAGTGACTGAGTGAGTGACTGAGTGAGTGACTGAGTGAGTGACTGAGTGAGTGACTGAGTGAGTGACTGAGTGACTGAGTGACTGAGTGAGTGACTGAGTGAGTGAGTGACTGAGTGACTGAGTGAGTGACTGAGTGAGTGACTGAGTAAGTGACTAGGTGAGTGACCCACGTCCTTCTGGTTGGAGTGGAGGAATCGTAACACCGATGAGTAGTGACTGAGTGAGTGACTGACTGAGTGACTGAGTGAGTGAGTGACTGAGTGAGTGAGTGACTGAGTGACTGAGTGACTGACTGAGTGAGTGAGTGACTGAGTGAGTGACCCACGTCTTTCTGGTTGGAGTGGAGGAATCGTAACACCGCTGAGTAGTGACTGAGTGAGTGAGTGACTGAGTGAGTGACTGAGTGAGTGACTGAGTGAGTGAGTGACTGAGTGACTGAGTGAGTGACTGAGTGAGTGACTGAGTGAGTGACTCAGTGAGTGAGTGACTAGGTGAGTGACCCACGTCTTTCTGGTTGGAGTGGAGGAATCGTAACACCGATGAGTAGTGACTGAGTGACTGAGTGAGTGACTGAGTGAGTGACTGAGTGAGTGACTGAGTGAGTGACTGAGTGAGTGACTGAGTGAGTGAGTGACTGAGTGAGTGACTGAGTGACTGACTGAGTGAGTGACTGAGTGACTGAGTGAGTGACTGAGTGAGTGAGTGACTGACTGACCGAGTGAGTGACTGAGTGAGTGACTGAGTGAGTGACCCACGTCTTTCTGGTTGGAGTGGAGGAATCGTAACACCGATGAGTAGTGACTGAGTGAGTGACTGAGTGAGTGACTGACTGAGTGACTGAGTGACTGACTGAGTGAGTGACTGAGTGAGTGACTGAGTGAGTGACCCACGTCCTTCTGGTTGGAGTGGAGGAATCGTAACACCGCTGAGTAGTGACTGAGTGACTGAGTGAGTGAGTGACTGAGTGAGTGACTGTGTGAGTGACTGAGTGAGTGAGTGAGTGACTGAGTGAGTGAGTGAGTGACTGAGTGAGTGAGTGAGTGACTGAGTGAGTGACTGAGTGAGTGACTGAGTGAGTGAGTGAGTGACTGAGTGAGTGACTGAGTGAGTGACTGAGTGAGTGACTGAGTGAGTGACCCACGTCCTTCTGGTTGGAGTGGAGGAATCGTAACACCGCTGAGTAGTGACTGAGTGAGTGAGTGACTGAGTGACTGAGTGACTGACTGAGTGAGTGACTGAGTGAGTGACTGAGTGAGTGACCCACGTCCTTCTGGTTGGAGTGGAGGAATCGTAACACCGCTGAGTAGTGACTGAGTGAGTGAGTGAGTGACTGAGTGAGTGACTGACTGAGTGAGTGAGTGAGTGACTGAGTGAGTGACCCACGTCCTTCTGGTTGGA